TGCTGGTTTTAATCTATAAAAGCCTATATGGCTCGGCTCCAGGGTATATTCAAGAACCAGATCGCACGTGGAGCCTGCCTGGCCCAGCCCAGACAGAGAGAGGATGCTTAAGGTCCTGTTCCTATGAGAAATCAAGGAGACATGGGCCCAAAGGCAATCCTTCTGCGATGGCTTTAACCCTGAAGAACACCTTCCCCCGGAGGTTCACCTGACTCCTGCCTTATTGATTGTCCCTAAGGTTGTAAATAGGGTTTGTTTATGTGGGTATTGGTGGTTGATTTTTTTAGTGCTGTTTATCTGATGAGGCTGTTCATGGTGATGAGGCTTGTTGGAGTTTGCTATGTTTGTGTTAGAGTTATGTGGTATTTGTTTTTAATACTATATTGTAAACTGCCCAGGCTCTTAAAATGCTGATTCCATCACTAGTGTTACAGAATGGAAATCCAGTTCTTGGTAAGCCACGAGCTTTTTATTGAAGCACCTACCTTCTTTGAGTAACACGCTATACGATTAACACGCAGTTTCTCTAATATTTCATCAGAAATGTGAATTCCTTCAGAACTGGCATAATCGGCTATGTTCAAAGCTTCTGAATAATGGTTCAGCGACCCTTCCCAATCACCTTCTCGGTATGCATCATTCCCTTCATTAAATAGGTTTTTAACAAGTTCTCGTATGAAGATCTGAAACACAAATCCTTGGTTAAGTGTACACGGGCAGTTCTGCAACTCAACAAAAGGTGCTTTGCTGTCATCAACAAGCCATTCTGGAGCGGCTCCGGGCAGAGGAGCAAAGAAGTATATCTCACAGCAAAGATTCTTTATATCCATTTGGAGTAACATTCCTTCTAGCAAAGTGCAGAAAGAAAGTCCTGAACCCCATGGCACTTCCACTGCCTCCAAACAACTGCTGCTAACAACCAGCCGTCAGAGAATGCTGACATGGCCGCCAAGATAAAGAGAATTCATCACATCCTACAAGAGCCAAGATTCTAGAGGTCCCTACCCACTGTTGAGGCCACAATGTCTCAGGTAAAGAAGTTCAGAAAGGAACATTCGTTACCTCATATTGTTCTTGAGTCCCAGGGTACGGCAGAGTAGACCTAGGAATCACAAAGATAAAATGTTAATCACATTTAAGGACCTCAGACATCCAAGACGCTTGCTATTGGAATTCTCGATCTTTGCTTCTACCCACTTGCCACAAGAATGGACTTTGCAATCCGAATCATCTCCAAGCCCAGCCACCTTCACGAAACCTATGAAAACTTAGCCAAGATATTCACATGCCAAACAGAAGACTGTCTATTTCTGAAGGAACCAAGCAAAAGAACTGTTCTTCTGCAACTCCCAGGAACCCTCTCAGTTTTCTGACAGCAGCATCACCCCTTTCAAGAAAGCATGAATTTATGTGCTACCTTTAAACCAATCAACTGTTCAGTGAGGGGTACAAATTAGGGGTACAAAGTTTATTTGTGGTTTACTGATTTTTTTTTCTCCAGACGAATATTTCAATTTCACTCCTTTTCAAGAGTATAAAATCTTTAAACTATATACTAATAAAAAAACTGAGTATTTTAACAATGGAGCAATGTGACAATCCTAAAGTCCAGCTGACAGAATGGGAGAAGCAGCATTCACTGATCTTCCTATCTGTTTTTGTCAAACAAAATTACTTCTTCTTGCAAACAATGGGAAGGCAATTATTTGCGACAGCCCAATGAATGGCCTACATTTTCCCAAGTCAGGACTTAAAAAGGTATTGGAAGAGCTTTGGATCTAACGCTTCTCCTATTTATACATACTTACTCAAAACTAGAGGCTGGTATTAACAAATGGTGGATACTCCAAAATAAGGGCACAATCAAATGCAAACTAAAGAGTATTGTGCACAACAACACATGAAAGACAGTCCACCTAGAAAATTGTGTGCCTGTGTTTTTATTTTGTAACAGCAGGGCTAGCTAATCTTTAATATAAGCTTAGCACAACTGCTGTAAAAAAGAAAAATATTGCACCATGTTTTAAATGGTTGTTAAACAGCTCTCACACACAGATGTCCAAAGTTCTTACTGTATAAACTGCAGCCCTTTCTTAATGTCCTGCAGTCTGATGCTTCTGTCCACAGAAACACTGGACATGTTATCATGAGCACCCTCGTCTTCAGTATGCAGCTTCTGAAACAAAAATAACAGTGAGTCGCTGGCTTGCAGAACAATCTCTGAGAAGTTATTTATCAAACAGAAGCAGGACAAATGTATGTAAACTAGCTATGTTGGTTCATATTTAACATTGTGCACATATTCCCCTATTCTCCTGGTACAGCCATCATGAGGAATGACAAACTTTTCATTTTATTAACTACAACTCACCTTCCCATCCAAAGCCAGATAAACCATGGTTGATCTTAACTATAGGCTAATGGAAATATTCAGTTCCAACATCAGCCCTAAAATATTCAACATCAACTCTAATAAAATAAACCCATGTTTATAAAATAAGTTTGTTTATATCAACCATATTGTTAAACAAAGTTTAGAGTTTTCACCTGAAGTGATCTATACATTAGCTACAGTTTAAGCTTTGTTAATTTAGGCAAAGGAAATAAATGATGCAATGCATGTCGCGCCTGTTCTATCATATCCTTCTGAAACTGGGATCTATATAAATGAAGGGTAATAACCTCCAGAATCACATTTAAAAAAAAAAAATCAGCATATTCATACTTCCAAATTCCAGAGGGAAAAAGCTATAATGCAGCCTTTGCCAGCTGGTATTTTCCCAATACTTGGGACTACAATTCCCTAGGAAATCTACCCAGCAAGGTTGTTGCAATATATTTAGACCAGTCCAGCAAACAGCAATAAACCTTTTCATTCACCTGAGAAAATGGAGTCTAGTTCACAAAAACATGCTGCACAATAAGCACATTAAGATTTTATAAAACTTTTCACTGTTTTAGCTGGAAATCAATTAATTCTAAATATTGCAACATAAAACCTAAACTATTACTGCAAAGGTAAATGCAAATAAACACAACCATATTTTGAAGTAACTTATCAAGATAAAAGCCCCACCATCCAGGGGAGCAAAACAAAATACTTCAAACAACACAGGATTTTTTATTTGAGGGTTTACTGAAGCTAACGATTTCAAATGCTTCTGAAATAGTCTACCTCGATGTATTTTAGGAAAACCTATTCTGAAACAGGATAAGAGGCTCACAATTGTGTCCCTTTTGATATATAACCCATTTTAATGAAGAACAGCAACACCAAAAACAAATGATAATGAAAGCAAAATCAAACAAAGGGACGAGGCTATTTGCATTTGGTTAAAATAATCTCCCTACTAACCACACTGCCAAGGAATTATGAGTTGGGGCCCAAAACTTCTGAAAGACATCACACTGGGAAATCTTCCTTTGAAGCCTGACATTATTTTAAATCATTCCAACTTTAGTTCCTGTAATTCAAAACGTGGTCTCAGTCACACAGACAATCTGAACAATATGCAGTCTGCAAATCTACTTTTACTCTAGGCACTCATAAGTCCCCTTCCTGCCAACCAGCTCTAGAGAGCAATACAGAACAATTGTACCGTATTGTAGGGCAAGCTCTCTGAATACAGCTTCCTATTCAGACATTAAAAAGACTATAACAGAATTAAAGTGGAACAAAAAATCGTACTGTATAAAACTACCTATTAGAATCGGCCCCAGATTACAAGGCTGAGCGCAAGAAGCAAACGTTTACGAACCCCCGAAGGCGCCAAGATTTTCTGGGAATTGCTCCCGGACGGCGGAAAGCCCTGTCCCTGGTGCTGGCAGCCTGATTAACCGAGGGGACAGTCGGAAACAGGGCGGATATGCCCGAAATACCAAAAAGAAAGAAAAGGAAAAGGAAGCAAGAGCAGGCAGCGGCCGAGGAGCAGCACCGGGCCACTCGGACCGCGGGCGCGCTGCTGCAAACTCCGCGGGCAACAGGTCCGCGCTGGGGCCGGAGGGCCCCCCTCGCCCAGAAAGGCCCCCGGCCGCCAGCATCCAGCGGGGAAGGGCCCCCGCCGCCAGACCGGCCCCGGCCCCGGCCCCG